TTTTTTTTCTGTGAGCCCCCCCCCCCCCCCAGTATTTGCAATATTCCAAACAGATCTACTGATGTTTGCATTTATTCAATTAAACTTTCTCTCAGAAGCTAAAATTGATCAACACATTTCCTGAGACATTGTAATTTGTAGGACTCCATAACTAGATTGTGTTGAATTAAGAGAAGTGTGGGCCACATGTATAATAATGGGAATGTGGCCTACTTTTTACTACTCAATTCGGTGTAATTCATAGCATGAAAATGTTACATTTGGGATACTTTTGCCACTATGTTTGCAAAAATATAAAAAATAAGAAAATGAAAGGATTTTGCTTTATAACTCTCATGAAACAGTACTTATAGCTAACCTAGGTACCATACTAAGCATATTCAATACAACTCTCAAAACTATACACTGCAATCAGTATACAAATACAGAGCATATAGTATATCCATAAACTGACCATGAAAATTAAGAACAAAGAATCCCCCAGTTGAAAAGTCGCTGTGAAACTTAATAAGTACTTGATTCGATGAACTATATGCTGTTTCAAGGGCTGTATTTCCACTGAAAACACCAAGCTGAGGAGAATTCTGATCAATCCCATCCCTAAAAGTGTAAAAAAAAACATAAACAGCAATTATATTTTATGCATTTAAAAGTTACAGTAGTAATAATACAATTTGTTTAAAATGTTCCATATTTAAATTATTTAAAGAATTGGTTATTTTATTTTTTATGCTATGTAACCTATGTAAATGTACAAGTAGATTCGTTTTTCAATCATTTGACAATCTATAAAGCATGAGTATAGTACCTGTCACTATACCTTGAAACAGCATTCCTTAAACAATATTCACTATGGTCTTCATATAAATAAAAAAAGAACCCCGTTGTCACCCAGGAGACCTTTGACAGCATCAAACATTCTTTTTATCTTGCCTTTGTAGGCAGCAATGTCTGAATTTTAACAGAATCCACATCCTTTTGTGATATGTACTCAAGTACATCAGAGATTAGCAAGGGCTTGTTTGAAATCATTTAACTCTTGGTCTGTTCTTCCTTTATCACAATATTTTGACCATCTGAGTCTATCATATGAATTCAATAGTGAATGTTTAAAAAAAACCTAACATATCCGTACAATGCCTGTTAACAAAGTTGCTTTAGCAAACATATACAATTTTGAAAACCATAATAGGATAAACTATTAGAAAATACAGTGCTCAGTAAAAAAAAAATGGTGTGGCAGTTATCTGCGTAGCCTCGTTGGCCCTGCAAGCTTGTTAAAAAAAAACAGTTTTTGATATTGTCCAGGGAATATTAACCACTTGCTGTCCGGGGCATTTTCTTACTATTTGTGCACACATGATAAAATATAAATTTTTGTCTAGAAAACAGCTTCAGACCCCCAAACAATTATATATGTTCTGAAAGCAGATGCCCTGTAGAATAAAAAAATGCTGGTTGCAATTTTTTTGTCGCACGGTTTTTGCACAAATGCTTATCAAACCAGTATTTTTAGGAAAAAACAAAATAAATAAAAATGTAGTGCACAGAAACATAATATAATACCCAATTGTTTGGTAAAATATGAAAGACTGGGTCATGCCGGGTAAATAGATACCAAAAAAGGCAAGCCTTAAAATTGCGTTCGCCTGTGAAGCCGCAAAAAAGTCAATACCCAAAATTTCCCATAGGGAACATTTTAAACGCTTTTACTACTCATCAGTTTAGTACTAACAGTGATTGATGGCCCTAGAATTATTGCTCTCACTCCGCATGTTTGCATGTGTACGTGCGTGCATGTGGGGGGAGGGAAACTTTTAAAAATTTGCTTTTATTTTTTTATTTTTCTTATGTGTTACTTTAATTTTTATAATTTTAAAACACTTTTTTTTTTACACTAACCCTAGTGCTATCACATAGGGGGCTAACAAGCACCCTATGTAATAGCAGATAGGGTGTGACAAGTCCTCTTTATGGAGACATCAGGGTGATCCCTAATGTCACCTAGGGACCCCAAAGAAGCTGAGGAAGCAGAGATCTGCTTCCCCAACTTCATATCCTGGCTCTAAGGCACTAAGAGCTGGAGACTGTAAGAGTGACACCGGAAGTAATGTAATGCACATCACTTCTACTTTAGGGGTTATGCCATGTGGATATTCCAGGAGATTTCAAGAACAGGAGGCAAGAATGGTGGTAGGGGATGGGGCAGAATGTTAAAAACAAAAAAAACTTTAGTTTTAAAATTGTAGAGGGGAAAGGAGGGCTAGAATGGTGCAAAATATTTTTTGAGCGATGGTCCACATTAAGATTTAGAGGCAAAGTTAGCTTAAGTTAAAAAGACACTGCCACCTTGCCCCTCACAGTTCATAGGTCCTCCACAGCTGCTGAGAATACACAACACTTCCAGGGATTGAGGAAGCATCTGATCTTCTATCATGTAATGTTTACTTAGACTAACAGCATATTGCTAAGTCCAAGTACTGTGACATGACCGGGGTAGTAATGTCAACATTCTCCTGGTTTACCTAGACAGATGATTTCAGAGCCAGATTCAGGGAAGCAAGGGGCTGTGATGTGGTGGAACACAGGTTATGCGAGTATAAGGGGATAGGGAGATGTCCTTTGCAAATACATGGCAAAGTATTGCAAAGATGCCCTTGGCAATACCGGCACCCTCTATAGAAAAGTTTCCTATGTTACTTTTAGTAAGTTTTACTGTACATTCCAGAGTAGCGTTAGGGTTAACTGAAGGATTAGGTTAAACATATCTAAACCCATAACCAGAAATATAGTATATTGCACTTTACCAGTTCTTAGATGTGGTGACTGCATTCGTTTTTTTTTCTCTTAATTTTCACCTGCTGATTCTCCCAATAACACACTCCCTGTCATAGGGAGCTCATCTTTTGATTTGGACTACTAAAAACTCCCCCCCCCCCCCCTCATCTTTATTAACTGAGTGGTGTTCTGTTGTTAAAAGAAGATAGCTAAGAAAGGTGTACTTAGCCTTGCAATCCCCAATCTAAGAAATAGAAGCTGAAAAATATTAAATTTTATTTCACCGATTCAGATACACTGCTGATTTAAGATATGAATAAGAGACATCTGGAGGAACAGTTTATTTTGACATTTTTTTAAACAACAAATTCCCTGTCAAGAACTACCAGCAGGGGATATATTTTTTAACAATGTTGGCTTTAGTTACATGCTTTAATTAAGCATGTGCCTCTTTCACTAGAATACTTACAAGTATTACAAGTAGTACAAGTACAAACTATATTAAGGCAGTGGCTCTAACCTTGCTTGAAATCATCTTTAGCCAGGCCATACCTCAACAAAGAACAGAAAGAATGTCCACTCATGTAATCTGCCCTGACTTTATGCTATAGTAGTATGTATGTATGGATTTCATGACCAGTGTGTGCTGATGACTTGTGTCTTACTGTGAAAACCTATAATAATGTATGTTGCATACATTTATTACAGCAGACTTTCACACCCACATGTTCTGAATGTGTCATTTGAAAGTACCTCACCTTCAGAAATGAGAAATGTGTTCCTCATACATAATGCATTTCACAGTATATTAACTATCTCTGCCAGGGAGTTTCTAATAAGACCTTAGACTATGAGAGAGAAGTAAAATACTAGTGACTGATTACTTATTTAATGTGTGCTATGTGTGTATCTATAAAAATTGATTAGTTTTTCAAATTCATGTTCTGACCTTATGTGTTATTATTTTACTTCTTAAAAATGTCAAGCTGTAGTTCCACATCCATTACAAAGTTGCAGAGTCAAGGAAAAATAATCAATTTAAAAGCAATTTATTTACTATGGGTCACATACCATACTGCAATGTAATCATTCACTGGTTCAGTCTGGAGCAAAGTAAAGTTAATATAAACCCCATGACCCTGTGGAACAGAAATTAGCCAAGTGCAATCCTTTGAATTGGGATATTCATCTGGAAATCCTGGAGAGTAAATTGTGCCATTTTCTGATGACACATTATATCCACAAGGTGCTGAAATGGAAACAATGTACATTAAAATGCAGACATAACCAGCCTAGTCATTTAGAGTTTTTATCAGAAACTTTTCAGAATTACACTGCCAGCTGTGTCTTGATTTTGTAACCAAATCCTGAGCCCTTCTAACATGTGTGCATCGTGTGCCATTAACAACATTATTTAGCCTTTAGATATGCTGGTTTATTTTGATTATGAATAGTCATGATCAAATTATCTGTTTTTTTCCATTGATAGCTAATCCTTTAAATGCACTGACCTCATATAATGTGTCATATATGAATCTATTTTCTCTAGAATGTCTGCAATGTCCCAGGTTCTATGTGTGTTTTAGACATGGGGTTACATCCCTATTCTCAGCACTCTTTTGAAAACTAGAAGATTCCGCAACAAGAAACTAACAGTTGGATAAGTTGTTATGAATTAGCACCAATCAGAGGTCATGGGCAAACATATGTAAACAGTCTAAGAAATGGATTTACCAGCTTAGGTAATTGGGATGCCAAATGATCTTTGGCATATGGTTTATTGAAAAACATGTTATACTGTAAAATTAACAGGTGATTGCAAGCTGGAAAACCCAACTATATACATCTGTTATACTATAAAAATTAAAAACACTTACAGTCCGCTTCACAAATATTGTAAATAGTTGATAAAACAGAACACTAATTACACTAACAAAATATTTGGAAAATGTATCAAAACCACAACCTCTGTTCAATGCTCAGGGAGCTAAACCTGGCTCCAAAAATGCTTTTTTCTAACTAGCAAGCATGTATGTATCACAAGAATGGCTGGCTAAAATTTAAAATTGTTTGGTAGATAAAATAAATATCCATTCAAACTCTGTACTTAGTTGTTCCACTTTGAAGCACAAATATAACCTTGCTCTAAATGGAACTAAACACTAAAAAAATGTTTTGCAAGGTTATAGGTATAATTTAGAAATGTTAATTGTGCCTAAGCATTACTCTACAAAAATGTACTCTTTGTTTGGAATTCCTCCTGAAAAATAGCAGTGCACTTCCTGGCTGCTTGTCTCAGGAAATTTGGTGTTGTCCCTACAGTGTGTGACATTAGCAGGCAAAAGCCCTGTCTCAACCAACATGGCCACCTCTATATAGAGACATAGTACAGAACAAGGCATTTTGAGTCAGTAATGGGGAAAAAATAGCTGCAGGGAGAGTACAGGGAATGCTGGTGACCAGTACTTTGCACCCTCTGCCTGTCTTTTTTAGGGCACAGCTTCAAGAGTTAACTTACTCTTTAAGCCATGCAGTGCATAATGAGTATTATTATTGTTTTCTGTGATCAAAAAGGTATTAAATAAGTGCATATACAGCCCAAACGTTTTTTTGTTAGAGTAGATGAAGGGTTAAACCTCTATCAATCTATTTAATGATGTCTGTATCATGTTAGGGAAATATTCTTTCACTTTATGTGACAGATATATACAATATGAGGGCAATTTCTGACCTGTCCTCATTGGATGATTTAACCTCAGCTCCTGTTCTGGTGACAACTATACAATTCTGGTTTTCCATAATTTTATGTGCCAGTGATAATAGTCACCATAACAAACTGAAAGGGTAAATCTACCCAGTGGGTACACAGACAGCAATGAAAACTTGGCAGAAGTCTTAATATCTTCCTTGTCTATATAAAACTAAAAAAAAAAACATTTTGGCTCTACGTTCAAGGTTATTTTTTTTTAAACTAAGGGTATTAAACAAAAAATTTAATTTTTAAAATTAAAAGTTTACCTTTTTACAAAATTTGGAAAATTAACTTATAGCACTGCCCCTTCTCCCCTGGTGTAGCACTTCACAGCCCGGCAGTCTGTAATGATCATAATGCTTGCAAATGGTGAGCATTTGTTGGTTAGCACAGTCACATGACCATGCTGACCTATAAGAAATGCTTCTTATTTCCAGCTAATAAGTACTTCTTATTGGTCAGCATCGTCAGAGAGTGAATCAATTCAAGCAAGTTAGAATTCATAGGAAATCCTGCTCTTGGTCTACTCTGATTCACTACAGTCAGCTGATTCACTAAAGCAGAAGAGTGAGCAGCAGTCTCCAATCTGCATAATTTCAGAGCAGATTTCCCATTATTCATCTATATTTTGATAAACGTCTAACTTGAGTTCTAGTTGTCCATGGAAACCCTACATAGCAAATGCATGCTAATTAGAGGACTTGATTTAAAGCTTTAGACAGATCCTACTGAAATTCCTTCTATTCAGCAGTCCATTGATAGACCCTCAGTGGCCAGCAGATGCTCTCACAATGAAGAAAAGGTCCACAAATAGATGCAAATCAAGATGCCTGCACCAGAATTTTTTAGTCTGCAGATGTTGATATGCCTGGCAGCATTGTGTTTGGATAAAAAATGCATTAAAATAATTTAAAATAAAAAAAATAGAAATAATAAACAAGATGTTTACTTATGAAAAGGAACAGGGAAGCTCATGCTGAAAAGCAAAACTACAGACTTTTGTTAGACTGTACACATGAAAATCACTTATGTTCCACTCTGCAAATAATTAATGTAGTCATTACGTTAGTTTAAATGAAAGTACAGTGTGATACACTTCATTTAAGCCAGGCACTATAAAATGAGCATTATTTGTTTCTGCTCCTTGTGACTGCAAAAGTTATTGACTACTTTTTCTTCAGATTATTAACCTTAGCAACAAAGGTTTTGCGAAGCATGAAAAGCAGACACAATCATTGCACAATGAGGGACTGCTGAATGCTTACACAATAATGAAACATTAGGGCTAATGAATCACAAAGCAAATTGCCCTATTTATGCTATCATATTTAGTTCCCTCCAGAGAACCTCATAGAAGGTGCAAGTTGTAATGTTAATCTCAGAAACAATAAATAATTGCTTGTTAGAAAAGCCAGGCTATTTATACAGGAAAATTCAATGTTATTTCAAAACACCACTGATAAGAATTGTCAATGTTCACCTAAGATGATTCACAGTCAGCAGTCAATACATTGTAGGTTCTATTTAAGGGCTGCTTTAATTAATCTTCCTTTATTTGAAAAAATGAAGCTTTCATTGCTGTCTTGTGAAGCACTTAAAAAGAAAGTAATTGGCAAACAGGCTCTCAGGATAATGTACTTACCTTCACATCTTGGAAAAGGATAGTTCCAGTTTCTATTAATACCGTGTTGGCAAGTGAGAACAGCGTGTCCTATCAGAACATATCCTGGATAACATTCAAAAGATATTGATTGTCCCACGCTATAATCAGAATTAATGATGTACCCATTCTTAAATGGATGAGGGGCTGGACAGTTTTGCAATTCATAGGCTGAAAAATAAAATCAACACTTGAAATAAAGGTTAATAAAAACTAGGACACTTAAGATTCAAAACTATTTATAAAAAGGAGCAAACAGAGAACAAAATTCTGAAAATAAAATAACAGGAATGAATCTTTGTAAAATCTTTGTAAAACCAGCATTTTTTCATGTAGAATATTTGTGACCTAGACAGGAGGTCAAACTCATATTACACAGGTAAAACAGTTTTAATCTGAGTACAACAATTACTGTTTAATAAATATAGTGTGCATACATAATCAATGTGACATATGTGACTATCATCATATAACTAGATAATCTAAACTGATAGACCTCTTTTTAACCACATGAGACTATATAACTTGCTGTAAAAGTAACATAAACAGAAAAGTATCTCACTCTGTGATTAAATGCTAACTGCATGAAAAGTGTATGAGATGTTATACTCCTGTATGGCCTTGGACTGTTCAATAAAGCCGTACTGTTAAAGCATCGACAAGCATCTTTTGGCTATGCTTAAAGGAACCATTGCAGATGGATTGGCACCCACTGGGGTTGATTTACTAACCTTATAAACACACCACAAACATGTATACACCTCTGTAGTGTGTTCCCTCCCAGCATGCTCTATGGGTGGAATCTAAACACCTTTGTAGTGTGTACACACCCAGCAGGTGTGTTGTGCAAAGCCAAGCATGAATTGCAAGGTGATGTTGTGTAAATTAGCTCTATGTTGTGTTGCTTGCGTTGATGAATGCAGGAATGTAAATGCATGAGCTAACCATTTTTGTCTAAACTGTGAAGCAGCATTATATATGCATCATGTGCATGATTTTTCCATATATGGCATTAGTGGAAATATGCTTTTAGAGACTTTTTGGTTGATAAATACGTTTTGCTGTGTGAAAATCACACGCACCTGGTGCGTGCGTGTGTTTAGGTTAGTAAATCACCCCCACTGTGTTTCTTCTGAGGTAAAAGCATTCCTCTTACCTGTAGTAGTGTGTGTTTATTACACATTATTGGAGTCCATTCAAAATGTATGGTGAGATAACTGCATGTTTTTGCCATATTTTGCTCTGTATCACCACATAAATATATTTATTTTTTCCACAATTTTATAACAGTTGCATATATAAAGTAATGATAAGTACAGTGTAAATAACGTTGAAAAGAAGACATATGTAAAAACAGTTGGCACAAATCAGCAAAATCTGCTGAAAATTATTTTACATATTATGTACTCATGAGAAATATTTGTTATTCACGATACAGGAAATTTGGAGACATTTAAAAAAAAAATGGTCTATTCTAATAAGAGACAGGATTCTGGGATCCATTGTTTCCTGTCAGACTTACATGCTGGAATGCTCTTGTGGAATCCAAAACTTGGGCTGCACTGCTAGGAAGCTGCTGCAGCAAATAGGAGAGTATATCAATAATATTTAAAATGTTATCAAAACCACATTTTGTCCACAAAATTCCAGGGGTAAGCATCACAGGAACCCAAATTAATTAGTTTTTGGGTGGACTGATAGAGTGTCAAAGAATTGGAGAGGTTCCAATCTAAAACAGGAGATCCCTCGGAATGAAATAAGGTAGCTCTACCAGCTGCACACTATGCAGCCCAATGGGCTTAATGTAGAACTGGACCCTATTGCACTATTTGAATTGACTCTGCTAATATCCAATTTCATTTAAATATGGAACTATTTTAAGTGCATGACTGCATGTATATCTTAACGCTACACTCAGCGTAGATTAATGTTCAGTTGATTAGTAAACCCAATCTTTACTACCTTATTAAGGGTAAATAAATACATTCTGACAAAGATTGTTTAAGACCGTTTATGTTTTCTATACAGAAATGGCATTGTTGCATACTAATCACATTTGGGTGCAGTTTTTATTGATATATTTTTAGGAAAATTTTTAGGCATTGTTGCAAAATTGGCTTGAAACAATGCAAAAAAAAGCACAGTGTGATAAATTAGTTCTGGGTAAAGCTGTTAAAACATTTATACATTTTTAGAATTTTAAGTGCTTAGTATACTTAGTATAGTGTAGTATGTATATCAAGTAGAGGTAAATTATCTTTTTTTATTGTAAAATATTGTGGCTGTAAAAAAAAGATGATTGATTTTAAACGGTTGTAAAGTTTCCTTCAATTGTGGCATTAAATAGAGTTAGGAGACGCTTTTTTTGTTTAAAATATTGCAGAGATGACAGCACAGACAGCACTCCTTATGAAGTTGTATGTTGACAAAACTAGTGATGCCACAACGTCAATTCTGGAAATATTGGTAAACCCTCTCCTGATATACAGAGGTAGTGGTGTTAGATAAGTAATTTTTTCAAACCGTTCTGCATAGCACATGGGTACATGAGGTCTTTTTATAATGCTTTTTAATAAAGTTTTAAAAGTTTTTATGCTATGCAAGTCCTTATTTTTGCTACTGAAAGACAAGGAGAGCCTGCATATTTAATGTGAAGAGAGGAGTAAGGTTAGTGAATGCAGCCAAAACATTATTTTTGACTAACTTAAAGATACATGGTTTAAATCATCTGGTAAGTACCTACCCTTAGGGTGAAAACATGGAGGAGTAACATTAAATTGTTTACACATATCTTGCACTGGGCAGGTAATTTCCAAAAAAACATAGTTTTGGAAAATGATGGCATTTTTCACTCTTTTTTATAACAGTTATTTTTAACATGCATAGTTTAATATTGTACTTTTATATAGTTTGAGTGAATTGTGATTGTCATAGTTTCAGTGTATTATTTGTGGTGACTGTTGTTTGATGGTTTAGATACTTTTTGCATACTTGTTTAGTTTGGGAACCCTAGGAGCGCTGGGATACACACAAACAGCTATTATGGTGTCACCAGTCATGTAGTGGATTATAACTATAGACATACCTGGAGAATACACAATGAGAGGAATTGGGAAATTGCACTCAATGACAGGACAGGACAAGGAATGGGTGGATTTTACCAAAAGGGTCATAGAAACCAATTATGTGACACTGTCGGGTATCAAAGTTTTCCCAGTTCTATCTGAAACTAATACAAGTTTTAGGTGGCAATCCACTCAAATATTGGTTTCCTATATTTATTTTGTTTTTTCATCAAGTTTTACTAGCTTTGTGCTTCCGTCACACTGTACTATATTTAAACATTTCACTCTTTATGGGATAAGACTACTAAGGTCCATGCCTATTTCTAAAGCACAATTTTCTCAGCTAAAATTAGGAATGTAAGACTCATTTCACTTTAAAAAACATAAAACAAAATTAACAGCAATGCTACATATTTTGATTACCTTGATATACCAGTTTAAACCCTTGTCGATTTTCAGAATGATCACTAAAAAAGTGAATAAGAACGTCATGAGTTGTGCTTAGCAATGATGATGGAAGTTCAGGGCCACTAAACTGCCCAATTTGAGAACTTGAATGATAGGGTCCATTTTGGATTTCAAGAATATCATGATTAGCCTCAGTTGAAAAATTTTCAAACTGAATGTGAGCCCCTGAAAATTAAAAAGAAACATTTACTTTATAGGAACATTATCATTATTGCAAATGTATTTACACATTTAAAGCCCGATTGTGTTTTCCCCAGGTGTAGTGAAATTTAAAAATGCAGTTCAGACTGGAATACCCACCTCCTCTCCATAGTTGTCCCCATTGCTCCACAGTAATTCACTTTCATCAGAGAACATGCTGTAAATACAGGGCATCACAGACCCACTCCCTGAGGTGGCATCACTGCAATGTTTTGGGATATAGTAATTACAGGTTATGCTGCACTCCTTATCAATGTGTCTTTGAATATGTTGAGTGTTTATTATGTAATCTTGTATATACTGTTGTTTTAGGCACAATATTGTCTTACACTAAATGAAATATTGCATCTATATCCTATATATGTATTTATATTTCCTTTCAGGGCATCTATTGCAAATGTATTACCATATTTACATATATATGTAGGTAAATATTAATAGCCAGAACACAAAAGTAAGATTTTGATAAAGTTCCTTATAGCAATGTCACTGTTTTTTTTTATGGAATCTGTAAGTATCTCAATGTGAGTGAACTATGAGCACCAAGGTAAAAGTTGGTGCTTCAAGGGCTGCTAGGCAGAAGAGAGGACTGCTGCACTAGTTTCAGCCTCAGTCTGCTCAGGTGCTTACACTCTTGTGTTTGATCCGTGGCAACAGTATGCCCCACAGGATGCACAGGTAAAGTGATGGCACTGTTATAAAACCTATATTACTCTGCCTACCCCAGAGGCATAACAGAAGTCAGCAAGTCATGGGTTACCAAACATTACTGGTGTTGTAATCATATCATGCAAACTTTATGAGTACATAGATATGTATATATATGCTTTTTTAAATGAAATAATTGTTTTCACTTGTCTCATCTTTTATGCATCTCAGTGTGGTGAATATCCCACCCAGCCTTTATAAGTCACTTACTGTCTATATACATTCTCTCCAGGTCTGGCTCCACATCATTGCTCTGGACCAGCTACCTGATAATGACATTGTTTATGCCTGCACAAAGTGCATCAACGCACCTACTTGTAGTCTTCACAGAGACCAAATGTGAGAGGGAGATAACAAGGACATTTATGCAGAATAATTCAATTTTATTTTATTGAAAATAGCATATTTTACAAGACTGAAAGCAATTTTTGGAATAACATTACCATGGTAAAGCTTGTGTGAGATTTTAGTGATTGGGTTTACATCTCCCCAAATGGATTTAGCTGTAACAGTGATCATGGTGGCCAGGTATTTTATCTGATACAGAATTGGTCCAAATACATACCAAAACCAACTGGTAATGCAATTTTCCAGGTGCAGTCTAAGTTGCTTGGGTAATTTCCAGGAAAACCAGGACTTAAGATTACTTCAGCCATCTTCATCAGTGTTCCACCACATTTTGCTAACAGGGAAAATATTTAAAACATAGTAAAGTCTACATGTGCCATACTCTTGTGTTTGGATACAAGTTAAAATATAAAACTATAAAACTAAAGCTAATGACATTATGTTTGAAAGATTATTTACCCTAAGCAGTTGCTAATAACTACAACACTTCCAGGGCATTTCAGCAGTTGCAACATATATTTTTAAACAAGATTTACAACACATGAATGAAGATGATTGTTGAAAGCAGATCTGTGTAAATTAAGTACAATACCCATCGTTTTTTAACCCCTTCATGTCTGAGACCTTTTTTTCATTTTTTGCACCCATGTTATATTCCACATTTTAGGCCTGAATATTACTTAAAACCCCCACACATTATATATTTTCTGAATGCCAAGACCCTGTAGAATAAAATGGTGGTAGTTGCAAATTTTTATGTTGCGCAATATTAGCGCATGAAATGCCCCAAAACACAACAAAATACCAAGTTTTTCAATGAAATATAAAAGATGAGGTTACAACGAGAAAAACAATGCCCAACATGCCCAGTTTACAAATTGTGTGCGTCTGTGAAACGACAAAAAACTGCAGTACCCCAAAAAGTCCACAGAAGACGCTTTAAAAGCCCCCACAGGTCATCAGTTTAGAGATACCCCAAAATACTGGCCCTAGAATTGTTTCTCTCACTCCGGCGTGCGCGGCGATACCCAACATGTGTAGCTCGTTTGTCGTTTTCATACGTAGGCGCACCCGATGCGTGTTTACGTGGTGACGCACGTGCTCGCGGGGGACTTTTAAAATGTATTTATTATTATTATTAGATTTATTTATTTTGATTTTAATTTTAGACGTACACTGTAAGTCGTCAGTCACGAAGGGGTTAATGACAATCCAACTAGTAGTGATCTGACTACAACAATGGTAAGGCATGGTATGGTTCACATTTATATTTTTTTAATACCTGCAGTGTATTATATATGAATATCTAAATTACCACCCTAAAAGTCATAAAAGATAATAAACATATATGCTTACCAATGCACAGGGGTGAAGGGAAATTCCAACGACGTACTGTCCCAGGCATGCAGGAAATATGGGAATGTCCCTGTTGATTCAAAGAAGAAATTGACTGCAACCTCATAGTCTCAAATGAAAAGCATGGAGAAATGCAATGAGAATGCCATTAATTTTATAGTTTGATTACTTGGATTCATTTCTGGACTAATTTTTGCATAGCATAAAGGTCCAACTGATTCAGATCAAGATTTTCTTATTTAGGTCAGCTTAAATTAACTTCTGCTTTTTGATATTCTATCTATCTATCTACTGTATCTATCTATCTATCTATCTATCTATCTATCTATCTATCTATCTATCTATCTATCTATCTTTAGTTTAATTACATCAATGACAAAGGGAGCATTGGAAACTTCTAACAATGCATTTCCAATTAGCCAAAAATAACCTTAAAGCAATTGTTGATACTTTAGAGCAGGGGTGCCCACAATTTTTATGTTAAGATCTACTTTTCAAATGGCGAGCTACATGCGATCTACTAACGCAAAAAAACCTCCCTTGCTTTCTCCTCGCTGTCTCTCCTCGCTCTCCTGGCTGTCATTCCTCATTTTCTCTCCTGGCTGTCTCTCTTTGCTCTCTTGACTGTCTCTCCTTGCTCTCTCCCCTGGCTGTCTCTCCTCTCTCTCTTTCCTGGCTGCCTCTCCTTGCTCTGTCTCCTGTCTGTCTCTCCCCGCTCTCTCTCCTGGCTCACCTTGCTGTATGTTGTATGTGTAAACTAATATTCTTTGATGTAATACATAGAACTTCAACCACCAGTATCCACCAGGAAGGTGTCAGGGAGCTTGGCTCAGCAGACTCAGGGTAATAGGTAATCATGTGTGCACAGCTAAATAAATATACCAAAATGGAATAGAGATGCCGCCATTCACACCCTTCATGATCTACCAACATCAGCTTTGAGAGCTACTGGTAGATCACGATCTACCTAATAGGCACCCCTGCTTTAGAGGTACCAGACACCTCTAAAAGCAACCGTTCAAAATAAATAAAACCAGACATTTAAAAAGGAAGTAATAAAAATTTGACATACAATGCATAATGGAAAATGTATACGATCTGCCATTCCTTAGCTTTTGCCTAAAAGCATTGCCTTACACAATATAAAAATCATTTAATTATTCAATATGACCATTGTCAATATGATATATATTACATTATTCAGCCATCTGGCACATCTGGAGTATGGTGAAACGGGAATAAATCTCATGCATTTTTCAGACAGCTTGGCCCACTGTTTCAGGAGAGAATGGCAGTATGTCTGGGAGGATCATATAATTGCATAATAAGAGCAAGAAATATGATATATATATATATATATGTGTATATATATATATATATATATATATAATACAAAAATACACAAACACACATTTACCAGCATG